AGAATGATGCTGGAAAATTAGATTGCGTCAAATTTACTCTTGACATCTGTACGACTAAAATCAGGTTGACAGTTAGTTTTAACACACTAATTGCTTATACGTTATAGTTAGAGTTATACTATTTTACACTCCCACCTCTCTCTTCCGGATTCCCGTGGAGAAGGACGTAAAGCAAAAGGACACCACCTCACCCTAACTCTCCGCTGCCTGCTTGGAAATAGTGTTTCTGGGTATAAACTAGATGGGATTAAGGTCCATAACAACTAGTAACTCGATCACCTAAGGTTGGCTGATGACGTGGGTTTGTATGCGGAAGACTTCAGTCGGCTTCAGAGCATGCTGCAAGAGCTCGAGAGAAATAACCCAAGATCGGACTACGAATTAATCGGTCAAAGACTGAAATCCTGTGATCGGGTGCCCTGTCAAAGACCCAGGTAGCGCTAAACGACGAAAAGACCAAAGAACTCGATAAACACATTTAATTGGGCCAAGAGATGAATATGCGATATAATATGATCAGATTGGAGAGATTTCACGGAAAAAGAGAGCCACATGGTGCGCGTTCCATTCGTCAATATCAGGAAAGATACCCGCGTCCATCTGTTCAGTTCAGCCGTCCTACCGGCGATGCTACGTGGAAACGAGATGCAGTTACTCGCAACAGTTGAAGACCGCCAGCTACTTATCACCGAGAAAACTATGGAAAGAAGAACTGTGGGAATTTCACGTCGAGGCCAAACCCTCAACGAGGTGGTCAGACAGTGGACGGAAGCAGAAAGGAAGAGCTACGGATGGTCACGACCAATGTCGACTGGTAAGCTCGCGATGGAACTGGGTCGCTAGGTCGCCCACCACGACGGTGGGAAGATTATATCTGCGGCCGGTAAGGCTGTGCGTGGAGGGAGAAGGCTCGAAACCGTGACGAATGGCCGGTGTGTTGCAGTAGGCACGATTCGTCCCAGATTACCAATCGGGCTAGGTGACTGCTCCTAGATGTACAACTATCTGTGATACAAGTGTTACCAGCCGTGATTCATCTTGTGGTACCACCTGTTTCGAAAAAAACTCTGTATCGCATTTATCAGTGTTAATATAGGATAGAATTTCCGAGCGTAGAGGAAGATAGAATATATTAAATAGTTTCATCCGTCATATTATGTTTATGTATATTATTATGATTTCTCTACTAATGTCGATTTATGACACTAGTTTAAGTCATACGGTGCAAAGTAGCAATGTCTGTAGCACTGTTGCTGGAATTATGGATCGGGAAAATCGATCATTTACCTAATCCATACGTCAGAAGACCACTGAAAATGGCAAACTTTTTGCCACAGCAGCTACGCTGACGCCGTTACAGCCATCTGCAAAAGGAAACAATGATATGAAGTAGTCCATGCAAACAACCACCACCGGTTCGTCGGTTGACATACCAAGGAGTTCGCTACGGCGATATGAGGACGACGAGTACCGACCGACGTTTCTGATCTGGTCGCGTCGTCGGTCTGGTGCTACCTCAACCTCAAATCAGCCAGTCCGCGTTGTCGTAGAAGACTGTCCTGTTTGAGTCGTTTGTTGAGTTGACGTTGTTGGCCGTTCAGTCGATCAGCGGGATCGGAATGCGGCAAGAAGGTCTGGCACATGTAACTCGATGAGGGAGGAACTCGTCCCTCTGTCTCCCTCTCGTCGTCGTCGTTCCGACGTGCAGAATCGTGTAGAATTGCGTTTCAGCTTCGCTGACGTCTCGCCGTCGATGACGACGACGACGGGGCTGATTTGCACCAGACCTCGATTGACGACGCTGAACCGCGGTGATCAATCTTCAAGTTTTTAGTGCTGCCAAAAATCTCTGTTTTTAGTCCAGGCGGAAAATGGAACGTAAAGTGGAGTGCGGCGACGGCCGCGATGCCGATTTACTTGCTACGTCGAATTCGCT